CACGTAGATAGATTTACAGAAAGTGGCAAACAGGTGTACAGGAGACCCTCTGTCCCCTGCCCCTGCCCCCCCGTGATAACGTGTTTCTCCACAGAGCCGCACAGATGCCGGGAAGGGGCCCCTGGGACGACGCCTGGGACTTCTGACATGTCGGCAACTCTACACACATTTGTGTGTGTGTGTTGTTCTAGGCAAATCCGTAAAACCACCACCACAACCAAGACAGAATGTCTCCTGGGAGCACCTGCCGCGGGGGCACCGAGCCGCCCCACCCTCTGAGCCGCCATGCCAGCTCCTCGCGTGAGTGCAATTGTCTGCATCTCCAGAGACTGTCCTTGAGAGCCGGGCCAGGCGCGGACGAGCGGTCTGTCCCTTGTGAACGTGCCAGGCATCCGGATGCTGCCCCCCACTTGCAGCAGGTCCTGTCCCGGGGTCGGTTTTGGCAGCCTGTGTTTTTAGGCGTTTGCCCGTTTCCTGCAGATGATCACATCACCAATGTCAGGAGCAAAGGAGGGGGGGGTCGCTCCGTCACTAAAATCACCAGGAGAAGAACGGAGGGCACATCGGTGGGTCGGCTCTACCTTCTGATATCCCGTGCCCTCCTTGCGTCCCTGTGGGCTGGAGCTGCGCCCGGTGCCCTCACCCTCGCCCCGGGGACCCTGCGCCCACCCACCGCTCCGGGCCGCTGTGCGCAGGTGCGCTCCATCCCCGTTTTCCACGATTGGTGTGAAATCCGTCATGGACAGAGAGGAGAAGGCAAACGCATCTATAACGTCTTTTGGAATTATATCGTTACCTTTATCGGTTCTCTTTGTTGCTTCCTGTGGATTCCGACTCCTCCCAGGGGCGCTGGGCTCTGGCCGGCGGCAGCATCTTGAGGACGCGAGGCCTCTGTTATTGGGTCCACAAACGTGCTGTCCCCCCAGCTCACACAGCAAAGGCTTCCCATCTTAGTGCCGTGCGGCTCAAACATCATGACTTCGCGTCCCGTGCAGCTGTTGTTCATCCAGCCCTGGGCACCAAAGGTATTTCCCGATGTTTTATCTAAAATGCTTATAGTTGGGGCAACTTTCTTTTATTTTTTAAGATTTTATTTATTTGACAGAGAACAAGCAGAGGGAGAGAGAGGGAGAAGCAGGCTCCCTGCTGAGCAACAAGCCCGATGTGGGACTCGATTCCAGGACCCTGGGATCATGACCCGGGCCGAAGGCAGCCGCTTAACCGACTGAGCCACCCAGGCATCCCGTTGGGGCAACTTTCGAGCAAGAGAGGTGGCAGGCCCCTCGCCTTGCTCCTGATCAGAGGGAAAAGCCTCCAGGCTCTCGCCTCTGTGCTTGCTGTTAGTTGCACGATTTTTTTTAATGAATTTATTTATTTATTTATTTGAGGGCGAGCACAAGCTGGGGGCGGGGCAGAGGGAGAAGCAGACTTCCGCCAGAGCAGGGAGCCCAACCCGGGACTCGATCCCAGGACCCTGAGCCAAAGGCAGACATTCACCTATGGAACCACCCAGGCACCCCTAGTTGCAGGATTTTTTGTGGGCACTTTTTATCAGTTTGAGGAAGTCCCTCCCTCTATTCCTAGTTTATTGAAGGCTTTTTCTTTCTTCTCTTTTTTTTTTTTTTGTAATCATGAGTACGTGTTGGATTTTGTCACATGCCTCTTCTGGATATATTGAGGTCATCATCAGTTTTTGGTACTTCATTCTATTAATAGATGGTATAGTAGGTTAACTGATTTCGGGCGGTAGATGGACTTTGCTTTCCTGGGGTAAATGCCACTTGGTCATGGTGTATGATTCTCTCTATACGTTCTGGAGTTTGCTAATGCTCATGGATGTTCATGCTGGTGAAGCACATCAGAGTGCAGTTTTCTTTCCCCGTGAGACCTTTGTCTGGTTGGATGTCAGGAGGATGTCAGGAGGATCCTTGCCTCACAGAACCGGTCGGACCATGTTCTCTCCTCTACTATTTTAGCAGCGTCTGTGGAGGATTGGTATTGATTTTTAGATCTTTCCTAGAACTCACCCAAGCCATCTGGGCATGGGCCTTTACTTCATGGGAGATTTAAAAAGACCACCATGCTATCCCATCGGGCGTCTCAGCACCCCCGCCCCTCCTTATCTTCTTGGGGTCCACAATGATGTCCTGATTTTCTGACCTGTGTCTTCTCTAGTCTCTCTCCGTCCATCTAGCTGAAGGTGTCTCAGTTTTGTTGACTCTTTCACAAGAAACCAGGCTTTGGTTTCATTGTTTTCACTATTGCTTTTCTGTTTTCTCTTCATTTTTCTTTTCTGCTCTAATTTTTATCATGTCCATTATTCTGCTTGCTTTGGCTTAGTTTGCTTTTTTAATAGTTTCTTAAGGTGGAAGTTTAGATTATTGATCTGAAAACTGTTTTCTCAAGAGGGAGTTTCTAGCTGCGTCCTGTAAACTGTGATATGTTGTGTTGCCATTTTCAGTCATTTTTTCAGAAATTTTTTTGTAAAATGTCCCTTGTGATTTCTTCTTTGACCCGTTGATCACTTAGAAGTGTGCTGTTAGGGCATCTGGGTGGCTCAGTTGTTAAGCGTCTGCCTTCGGCTCAGGTCATGATCCCAGGGTCCTGGGATCGAGCCCCACGACAGGCTCCCTGCTCAGCAGGGTCTGCTTCTCCCTCTGCCTCCGCCCCTCCTCCTTCTCTCTCTTTCCCCTTCTGCTCCTTCCCCCGCAACTCTCGCTCATGTGCTCTCTCTAAAATAAATACTATTTTTTAAAAAATTTATTTGACAGAGAGCACAGCAGGGGGAGGGACAGAGGAAGAGGGAGAAGCAGGCTCCCCACTGAGCAGGGAGCTCAACTCGGGACTCGATCCCAGGACCCTGGGATCATAACCTGAGCCAAAAGCAGACACTTAACCGACTGAGCCACCCAGGCGCCCCCTAAAATAAATAATCTTTAAAGAATATTTTTTAACTGAATACTGGGCATTTTAGATGATGTGCTATAGAAACTCTGGGTTCTGACCCCTGCCCTCTGCCCGACTTAGTGTTGTTATTGGTACTGGTGTTGGTTTACTTAGTACTGCGCCTGGATGGTGAATTCGAGTCTGTCCCCTCTGCAGTGTGTGGCCACTGGGATCTCTACTAGGTTTCTTGTTTGTTTGTTTGTTTTTTAAAGATTTTATTTATTTATTTGACAGAGAGAGAGACAGCGAGAGAGGGAACACAAGCAGGGGGAGTGGGAGAGGGAGAAGCAGGCTTCCCGCGGCGCAGGGAGCCCCATGCGGGGCTCGATCCCAGGACCTGGGATCATGACCTGAGCCGAAGGCAGACGCTTAACGACTGAGCCACCCAGGTGCCCCGTGTTTGTTTGTTTTTTAAGTAGCCTCCATGCCCAGTGTGATCAAGAGTCACAAGCTCTACCGATGGACCCAGCCAGGTGCCCTCCTGCTAGATTCTTTTTTTAATTATTTTTAATACGTAAGTCTGGTTTCCTAAGCTTCCCTGGGTCAGTATAGTTTAATGACAGTCAATTACTGGTTAGAGGTTATGCTTAAGTATCTTGAACAAGTAAGGACTCCGTCCTTTGCTGACGTTGTGTGTGTAGGTTGGGGATGCATTCAAAGTTCAAGCAGCTTACAGTTCAGCCGTGGTTTTTCCTTTTGCTTGTGCAAAGCCTCATATGTGGCCGGAGAAGAGTACAGAGCTGAGTTTACAGGCTTGGTCCCTCCTGAGCACAGACACAGCCTTGCAGGCTACCGGGGACAGCTGGGGGCTGTCAAGGCCCAACTGCTGCTCTTTTATTGACTGAATTTCCTTGTTCAATTTCCGGCTGGACTGTCTTTGCTTCAACCAGTCTCAAGGCCTCCGGCAGCTGAGGTGTGGGTCTCCGGCTAGCTGTCTGCCACCATGATGGCAACATTCCCGACAAACACCCTGTGGGGCTTTCTGATCAGGCCAGCACCCCCAGTGTCAGGTCCTGGAGACCTGCCTGACTCTGGTGAAATTACCACAGGGTGGGAGGAAAGGAAAGTAGCCCCCTCCTGAAACTCCACAGACTGCCACTGTTCTTACTTTTTTCCTTTTTTACGACTTGAGTTATTTATTTGAGAGAGAGAGAGAGAGAGACAGCACAAGCAGCAGGAGGTCAGAGGGAGAGGGAGAAGCAGGCTTCCAGCTGAGCAGGAAGCCTGATGTGGGGCTCAATCCCGGGACCCTGGGATCATGACCTGAGCCGAAGGCAGTCGCTTAACTGACTGAGCCACCCAGGCGCCCCCATGGCATTATTTTTAATAATGTATTTAATCTAAGTCAATATAAGAAGTAGTATCATTTCAACAGGTAGCCAATATTTTTGAAATTATGAATGCCTACACTTCTCTTTTTTCTAAGCCTCTGAAATCTGGTGTGTTTCACACTTACAGCACCTCTCAGCTCAGGCCAGCTGCATTCCAGCACTGGCTCCCCTGGCAGACACAGGAGAGATATTTGGTATGGTGGTTATTTTTCAAGTGTGTTAACATATCTCTCATGTTTGATATTTTTCTTCTTTTAACCCTTGTCCTTTGAAGATGCTGCAATATCTAAGGATGGAATGCCTAGCTTCCGTCACTCCACCCTGTCGGGTTCGTACGCAGGGGCCTGCTAATTAAACCAAGGGTGCATGCACTCCGAGGCGCCGAGCAGGGGCTGGCGCAGCAGGCAGAGGCAGGGGGTCGGGTGCCTCGCTGAGCAGGGGGAAGGGGAGACCAAAAGGCTCCTTCAGGAAAGGGGAACGGGCTTCGGGCAACGCCAGGAGACAAGCCCGCCATCGCAGCTACTCCTGCTGGTCGCTCCTGCCCCGACGACCCCGAACTCCCGGGTGCGCCTGCGCCACTCCCCGCGGCGGGGAGAGCTCTGCGCGTGCGCGCTCACTTTCAAGCGGGTTAGCCTTGCGTGCCGCAGGGCCTGGCCGGGCCCCGGAAGTGCAGGGGTGTGGCCTCGCGGACAGCAGCACTTCCGGCCTGTGGGGGGGGCTCCCTGAGGCTTCTGAGTGCTGGGCCGAGGCGGTGGGGGGGGCACTGGCGGCCCTTTTAGGAGACAGAGGCGGGAGCTCAGAGTGGAAAGCGGGCGCCGGCCGGGCCGGGCCTCGGCGCCCGCGGTCGACGCGTCACCCTACCCCGCCCGAGCGCGCTGTGGCGGGGCCCGGCCGACCTCTGGCCTCTGGCCTCTGACCTCCGACCTCGCGGGGCGGGGCACCTCCGCGGCCGGGCGCGGTTTCCCGGGGACGCGTTTCCCGCCGCACCGCGGGCCGCCCGGACCGCCCTGGCGGAGGCACCTTCCGGCGGCCTCGGCGCGGAGCCCTGGGCCGGGCGGCGGCCCCGGCGTGGCGGCCTGCGGTCACCGAGGGAGCCCCCGCCGCGCCCTGGCTCCCAGAGGCCCGGCGGCGGTCCGGGAGGAGCCCGGGCCTGGGCACAGGTGGGTGTCCTGTGGGTCCGGCCCGGCGGCCCCGCCAGCGCGAGGCGACAGCGACGGTGACAGCGCCCCGCGCGCTCGTGCCCCGGCCGCTTCGGGGACTTTCCCGTGGGACCTCAGGGTCTCCGGAAGTGCTAGGCCCCCAGGTGCGCGCTCGGTCAGTGGCCAGGCCCGTGACACTGCTCGGTGATCGCAGAGCGCGCTGCGCGCCCCTCCGGGGACTGACCCTCCGGGGACTGCCCCTGCGGGCCCGCTGCCTCTGCGGGGTTCCGCCGGGGAAGGCAGCAGGGCCACCGCCGGCTAGTCGCCCATAGGGACGGGCGGGTCCAGCGCGGGCATCTGGCCAGCACCGGTAAGACAAGCCAGGGGGGAGAGTGTGCAGACGTCTCCTGTGCACGGGAGGTGGGCAGGGCGGTCCTCCCTGACCGAGGTGTCCCAAGGGAGACGGAGCCGCAGCGTGAGCGGGACTAGGATGGCGCATTCCCTCTTTCCTTGGCTCGCTAGGGAGCAAGGGCTGACAGCCTCCACTGGAAGGTGATGGTTCTGGGCCTGCAGCAGGTGTTACCCTGATGTTCGTGTCTGCGGCCATCAGGCTGCCCTGGAGCGGCCTCGAGGAGGGTAGCGCGTCCTCTGGCTTCGATCCTACGCTTGCGTGGACGCCCCGCTGCTGCGGCCACCGGTGGCTGAGCCCTTGGTCTCCCCCTTCAGTGTGGAGGCGATGCCAAAGCTGCAGGGCTTCGAGTTCTGGAGCCGCACCCTGGGCGGGGCTCGCCACGTGGTGGCGCCCATGGTGGACCAGAGTGAGCTGGCCTGGAGGCTGCTGAGCCGCCGACACGGGGCCCAGCTCTGCTACACCCCCATGCTACACGCCCAGGTCTTCGTCCGCGATGCCAACTATCGGAAGGAGAACCTGTACTGCGAAGTGTGCCCCGAGGACCGGCCTCTCATTGTGCAGGTGGGCAGGGGCCTGGCCGGGAACACCAGGTGGGGCATCTTTCCAGAAACAGCTTCCCGGTTGGGGCGGGTTGCTGTGATGAAGCAGCAGATTGCCAGGGGCTCCTGCTGCTGGTCTCCCAGAGATTTATCCCTTCCCCGGGAGCTGGCTCAGTTTGGATGAGGGGATGCCTTGGGCACTGGGGAAGATTCGCAGCCCCCCCACCCCATTGCCTGCCTGCTGTCTGCCACGTGTTCTCTCGTTACCAGATGATCAGAAAGAACACTCTGTTCTCTAGCTAAAGTCAGTGATGCCCGCTTTCTGTTTACAGTCGGGACAAATGTGAATCAGTGATCCCCCCTCCTTGTGGTGTGGGCACATGTTCTGCTGTAAATGTTGAGGACAGGATGCCATCCTGCAGTCAGCCCCGGGGACCCCCTGTGGGTCTGGGGAGCTGAGGTACCAGGGCCTGGCTCGGGCTCATGGCACCTCCTGTATCTTTCCCAGTTCTGTGCCAATGACCCAGAGGTGTTTGTCCAGGCGGCTCTCCTGGCTCAGGATTACTGTGATGCCATCGACCTGAATTTGGGTTGCCCGCAGATGATAGCCAAGCGAGGTGAGTTCAGCTCCAGGTCACTGTTTTGAGCACTGCTTTGGGCGGGGGCAAGGCCCTGAACCCGCAGGGTGCCCAGCTAGAGGCCAGGGTGTGGACGCAACCAGGGGAGGGCCTGGCGCCGCTCCGGGTGGCGTCCCAGCCCTTTCTTTGCTCCTCTCTCTGGAGGGACAGGGTTCTGCTGGCTCTCAGAGGCTCGGCACTCCCCTCGGTGCCCGGGGAGCCATCGGGCTCCCTGTGGGTAAACGCGCTTCCCATCACCCTCCCCCTGCGGCTGTACTCTGCTAAGTGGGCAGTTCAGGGGTTAGGATCGTTCCCACCCCGTCTGGGGCTGAGACTTTGTTCTTCACTGAGTCTGAGGGGTTGCTGCTGGTTGGTCAGACGCTGTGCAGGTTGGGCGTTCTGTTCGGTGCCCTTGAGCTCCGGCAGCTGGGCACACAGCCCCCACGTGTGATGCTGAGAAACTGCTCAACCCAGTGACTGTTCCTGCTGCCCCTCGGGACTGGCTTGGCAGGGGGCTCGTGCCCTGGGTAGACGCGGGAGGAGAATGGGTGCCGAGGGCCATGCTGGTCTTTTGCAGGTCACTACGGTGCCTTCCTGCAGGAGGAGTGGGACCTGCTGCAGAGAATGAGTGAGTTGGCTGCGTGCTGCGGGGTCGTGGTTGGTTAAGGAGCCCTGAGCCGGTGGCCGGCGTGTCCTGGCCACAGTGCGCTCTGCTGCAGGAGGGGGCTGTGAAACTTGGAGCCGGACGGCGGGTGCTGGAGGCAGGTGTTCTGGCCCTGGCCCGGCCCCTGCAGCGCCCTGGCAGATGGGAGCTGGCGCAGGGAGGGGTTCCCCACGGCCTGCCTGAGGTGAACACCACGCTTCTCAGAAACCGACTCTCCTTTTCCGCAGTTCTGCTGGCGCACGAGAAACTCTCTGTCCCTGTCACGTGCAAAATCCGAGTCTTCCCGGAGATTGACAAGACCGTGAAGTACGCCCAGATGCTGGAGAAAGCCGGCTGCCAGGTGAGGGGCCTGTGGGCTCGCAGGGCTGCGCGCTACTCCCCTGCCTCGTGTCCCCTGCACCCTGAACTGGGGGGGAGGGGGTCCTTGCCCCCAGGAGCCCCCTTGAGGCACTGACTTGCCAGGGTGGACCGGCATCGCATCATGGTGACCACGAGGCGAGGCCTGGTGAGGGTGGGTGAGCCACATGTTCTGAAGAGGGAGGCTGGTACTAGGCAGGGGGAGGTGCCAGGCCTCAGCTGCCCTTTCCCCACCTGCCCCCAGCCTCAAGGTCAGGTTGGTGCCCTCCCACCTGTCCCTGACACATTTGGAGCTGGGGTGCAGCCACTTCCAGGAAGACCGGCCCATGAACAGGGCTGGGCCTGTCCGCTCTGCATGCTGGGTGGATCCGTGGGACATGGCAGCCTCGGGCAGCAACCCACCAGTTGCAACCCAGGGGACTGCGGGGCAGGCACTGCGTGAGCCAGGCCCAGGGTTCGGTTTGGGGTCTGCGGCCACGAGCAGGGTGGAGCCGTGCACCACTGTGTTCTAGTTGCTGACCGTGCATGGGCGCACCAAGGAGCAGAAGGGGCCCTTGTCGGGCACTGCGTCCTGGGAGCACATCAAGGCCGTGCGGTGAGTGGGCGTGGCGGGGGGCGCGGCGGCCCGGGCTGGCAGGGAACGAGAAGCACCTGCTCGGCGGCGTGGGGGATGGAGCACTGTTCCCAGGAGTGAAGGGACAGGGTCCCTCTCTCCTGAGTGTCTGCTGCCTGCCTGCTCCTGGCAGGAAGGCAGTGGCCATCCCCGTGTTTGCCAACGGGAACATCCAGAGCCTGCGGGACGTGGAGCGTTGCATCCAGGACACGGGAGTCCAGGGGGTCATGAGTGCAGGTGAGGCAGGACCACGGCGGGTAGGCCTCAGAGGCGCCAGGCCCCGTCGTGACGCCCCGGGCCCCGTGCTGGCCTCACTCAGCGGCCTCGTCTGCCTGATGGGCCTGAGCGCTCGGGCCAGCGGCTGCCCTTGGCTGGACACGGTGGGGGGGGCCGTCCCTCCGGGGACGTGAGCGCCTGCCGCCTTGAGCCCTCCTCCCCCCGATACCCCCCAGAGGGCAACCTGCACAATCCCGCCCTGTTTGAGGGCCGCAGCCCTGCCGTGTGGGAGCTGGCCGAGGAGTACCTGGACATCGTGCAGCGCCACCGCTGCCCGCTGTCCTACGTCCGGGCGCACCTCTTCAAGCTGTGGCACCACACGTGAGTTGCTCCTCAAGGCAGACGCCGTGGGGCCTGAGCCCTAACTGGGGCGTTGGGGCATTTAAGAGGGAGCTTTCTGGAAGCGTGTAGCGGAAGAGCTTGCGACCGAGTCGGGTCCGGGTCAGGAAAGAGACGGAGCGCGTGTGCAGGGTGCAGGGTGCAGGGCTCGGCCTGGGGAGCGGGGCGGGAGGCCGGCTCAGCAACGGCGCCTCGGTCTCAGGCTGCAGGTGCATCAGCAGCTCCGGGAGGAGCTCGCCAAAGTGAAGACCCTGGAAGGTGTTGCGGCTGTGAACCAGGAGCTGAAGCTGCGGTGTCAGGCAGGTGTTGGGGCTGGTGGGGCTGCCGTGTGGCGCGCGGGGGCCTGGGCTCCGTGACGTGGGGCGCTCTGGGCTCTTGCAGGAGGATATATCCAGGCAGGAGGAGGGAGAGAAGCCCTCTGGCGGCTTGCCTTTCTTCCACTGGATCTGCCAGCCCTACTTACGGCCAGGGTGAGCTTTGCACCAGCCCACGGGCCGGGGTTGGGGGGCCGGGGTGCACACAGAGGAGGGGCGCTCCGCCGCTGCCGCAGCAGGAGCCTGGCCTGCTCTCTCCGGCCTCGGTGGGGGGTCCCGCGGTGCCCGCTTTGCCCTCACCCATCCGCGGGTGCTTTGGTTTTATGTCTTTCTTCCATAAGGTGACTCTCTTAAATGCTTCTGGTCCTGGGTGGATCTGTCCTGGGGGCAAGCGGCGGACAGCCCCGAGTTCCCGCTGGGTCCTTGCAGCTGTGGCTGGGCTGTCGTGTGTGGCCACTCAGGCCCAGTCATGGCCTGGGCAGCCTAGGAGCCAAGCTGCTGGGGCGCTGTACGCACGTCCTCACCCTAGCGGGTCGCCTCTTGCGGGGGCCCCCAAGCTCTGCCCGCTGCCTTTCCCTTTCAGGCCCAGGGAAGGGAGCAAGGAGAACGGGGGTGCCCGCAGCAAGCGGGCCCTGGAGGAGGAGGAGGAGGGCGGCACAGACGTGCTATCCAAGAACAAGCAGAAGAAGCAGCTGAGGAACCCCCACAAGACCTTTGATCCCTCGCTGAAGCGTAAGCTGGTCCCACCGCTGGGGCCCCGGGAGCTGCTCCCCAGGGCAGGTGGGAGGGCAGTAGCAAGGGCCGGCCGTGAGCCAGGCTGCTGTGGCCCTGCCGGCCACGTGCTCCCTCGGCCACTGCTCGAAGGCAGAGGTGGCCTTTGGGGCCACCCTCCTGAGAAGGCTCTTCTAGTGGCAAACACCCGGTGAGCGGTGGGGGTCTGTGTGCTGCGTCCTCAGGCTGGCCACGGTGGGCAGGGGCTCTGTAGGAGATGGCAGGTGGGGGACAGGCTCACCTGCTCAACCAGCATCTGCTTCTGTTCTTTTTTCAGCAAAATACGCAAAGTGTGATCAGTGTGGAAACCCAAAGGTGAGTCTGGCCATGCTGCCCAGGAGGCGGTGGGCGGGGTGGTCCCCGCTGACACTGCCCAGGACCTGCAGGGGCTGTCCTTTCCCTGCCTGTTGAGGGGGCAGCCCGAGGGAGGGGGGCTGCTTCCCCGCCTCAGGACCGCCCCTCGCAGCATGGAAGGCAGGCCCTGGGCTGGGGTGTAGCCCCCTGGTGCTCCTGGCCAGGCCTGCACTTTGGGGCGCTTGCTCAGGTGGTGGGGCATCAGCCACAGGCTCACTGGTTTGCCCGTGTTCAGGGAAACAGATGTGTGTTCAATCTGTGCCGGGGCTGCTGCAAGAAGCGAGCTTTCAGAGAGGCTGCAGACTGCCCAGGTAAGGGGCACCTGCTGCCACCAGCAGCCCCCCCAATCCCCGGCCCCCAGAGGGCAGTGGGGCCCTCAGCCTCCTGAGCCCCACTTCCTTCTTCCTCCGCCAGGTCACGGATTGCTTTTTAAAACCAAACTGGAGAAGTCTCTGGCCTGGAAGGGGGCCCAGTCCCGGCTGCAGGAGCCTCAGCCAGCAGGATCTGGAGAGCCAGGCAGCCTTCCCGAGGTTGTGGGCAGTGCCCTGGCCTGAGGGGCCGCTGGAGCCCGACGCGCCGCCCCACTAGGCCCCAGGACTGTTGCTGAGACCTCAACATGTCCCACTTAAGGAAATGCCTTTACTCAGGGAATCTCCCGCCTCTCAACACAGAAGGATGAGCTGGTCTTCCCCTCGGCCCTATGCTGGGAGCCCGGAAATGCTGCACCAGGGAGCAGGCTCCCAGGCTGGACCTGCCCCCTCCTTGCAACGTGTGTGTTCAAAAGTGAACAATAAACCCTTTCAAAAATGATGCGTGTTTAGAGAGCCAGAGACGGTATGTGAAGGCCCCAGGCCCAGCGCAACATCGGAACAAGGCTGAGTTGGGAAGGTGGAGTCAGGGCCAGTGAAGGCTCCAAACACACAGCCACGGGTGGGAACCCTCTGCCTCGGGAACCTTCCTAAAGGAGGGCAGCGCGCTGGCCTCAGCCTCCTCCCCGCCTGCACGAGGGGTGGGGAGCCCCAACCCCAAAGCCTAACCTCAGGGACACGAGCCTCAGAAGCCCTCTTAGCAGGAAGGAACGACACAGGGGGAGTGTTCTCAGGCTGCCCTTTAATGGACTGAGACTGAACTGGTCTAGAACCCCAAATGACACAAGAACAGGGAGGCTGGGAGTCCCTGCCGCCGGCGTGCGCAGGGGGAAGGGGGGCAGGTGAGTCCTGCAGGCCTCTCCTTCCAGGAAGGGCCCTGAGCAGCGGGCACAACAGGGTGGAGGGAGCCCGAGAAGCCAGACGTGGATGTCCCGGCGGGGGGGTCTGCACGGGGGGCACCTCCAGAAGCGCCACACGACCAATGGGGAGCCTGCGTGTCCGAGCCCGAGGGTGGGGGCAGGGGCGGGGCGCACAGACCGTCCTGGAGGCCGACGGGCGCCCTCACATGTTGGTGCTCATTCGGGACTGGCTGTTGGCCGGCGTCAGCTCCCCCTGGCTCCCTTCTCGGGGAGGGGACTGGGGCGGAGATGCGGCTGCTCAGCCCAGGAGACGTGCGCGTGCCCGCCCCGCTGCTGCCCCCGGGGCCGCCCCTGCCCTCACCTTGACGTGAACCTGATTGCGCAGCACGGCTGCTCGCAGGATCGTCGCTTTGGCCCGCCTCTGGAACTCCTTCCCCATCAGCAGCGACTTCTCAAAGGTGGTGCTGCGCTGATCCACATCCCTGGCGTACAGGATCTGCGGCAGGAGGGACGGGGCTCGGCGGTGCTCACCGGGGCGCAGGGGCCCCCTCCCTGCACCCACGGCCTGGACCCGGGCCTGGCCACCTTGCTGTGGGAGTCGATGCGGGCGTTGATGAGCCCCTCCAGGATGAGCTGCGTCAGCTCGTCCTCCAGCGCCGCCACGGTGGTGTTGAAGGCTGCGGCCATCTTGTGCATGTCCGCTGACACGTAGGGGCTGAAATACTGCAGGGCAGAGGGCGTGTGGGCCTCCCGCGACTCCCAGGCCCGCCCGCGGTGCCCTGCCTTGGCCTCCGTGCCCCCACGTCTACCTGGATGAGGGCGCGGTTGCGGATCTGGGTGTACAGGGTCCTGACGTGGGGGGCCAGGTACATGTCCAAGAGCAGGTTGTCCTGGTGAGGAGACCTGGTCAGGCACCGCTGCCCCCCGCCTTGGCCCCCCCGCCACCAGAGGAGGCAGGTCCCTCACCTTCATCTCATCCAGCATCTTTAGGCACGAGGCGTACTTGGACTCGTAGAATTTGAAGATGATGTCTCGAACCTGCGGCTCCAGCTCCAAGAATAACTTGAAGGAGCTGCAGGTGCATAACCCTCAGAGCTGGCCCTGCGCCTGCCCACAGGCCCTGAGGGCCGGAGGCGGGGAACCGGAGCCCCCCACAGGCCCAGAGAGCACCAGTCCTCAGGCTTCTGGGAGGGGGCAGGCTGCAGGGCGAGCACCCCACCCTCCACCCACCTGCTGGAGATGACGTTGCGCTGCAGCTCCTGCCGGTCAAAAGTGGCCAAGGCACACAGGCCACCATAGACAGCCACGTTGCTGGGAGAAAGCAGCTGAAAGGAAAGAGTTGGGTCCAGACCCCCGGGGTCACTGACAGTCGAGACACAATCCAAGGAGGAAGCAAGCCCAGACACAAGGCTGGCTCATCCCTGCCCTGCCCACCACCCACCCAAAGAATCTGCAGGACTCCACGGAGGGGATACCCCTCAATAAAGAGCCTAACCCACAAGCCCTCCCCCTGCTTCCCAGCAAGGGCTCGTCCCCAGACACCCTCCTGTCCCTCACCTCGGGGAAATCACAGTGATCGAATGAAGCCAGCAAGAAGCACTTGGCAGCCTGCTTGTACTTGCGCGCGGCCAACTCGGCCAGGCCTATGGGGGGGTGGGGGGAGGCAGCCAGGATGAAGCCCGGTGCCCGGAGGAAGCTGCCAGAGCCGCCCTCACCTCTCCCACCCCAGCTGCTCCTCGGCGTCAGGGACAGCGAGTCTGGTCAAACTGTGGCCACCCCCGCGAGCACTGACCGGGGCACTCTCCTCAAGGGCCCAGGGAAGCCGTGCACAGCGGTGGTTACCCCTGCAAAGGACTCCGGGGCCCACCTGTTAGTCACACCTCAGCTCCCGACCACTGGCCGCATGCTGGCCTCCCCGCCCAGGACCGGAGCCTGGCAGGCACCCCCTGGGGCCATGGGTGCAGGGCTCGGACGTTTCCTCGGCTGTGACGAAGGCCCACCACCCTGGCTGTGAGGACCCGACCCCCGGCACGCACAGGCCACCCCCGGGGCTGGGGTCAGCTGTGGCGGCCTGCCGCCCCAAGGCCCCACCTGCAGCACACTTGAGCTTGGTGAGGATCGCCTGGGTCTGGCTGTCCCGCTCCCCACGCTGCTGCAAAAGAAAGCAGGACACGTGAGCCCCCGGCCTCCACATCCTGGTCCTTCCCCGGGCCCTGCCCCAGCCTGAGAGGGACAAGGGCAGACCGGGTTGGAGCCTGCCCGGGCCTCAACAGTCCTGACATGAGGTCTGAGGAGGCAGAGAGGGTGGGCAGCCAGCGTTACCTCGGCAATCTCCGGGGTGGACTCGGCCTTGCTGACGTAGCTCAGCACGTGGGACCAGTTCTGCAAGTAGACGCTGACCTGGCGGGCGGGCGGGTGGGGTGGATTCAGCCTGGGACGCCCCCTCCTGGCTCAGGGGCAGCGCTGCCCTGCATCCCCTCCCGACCGGCGAGGCAGGGCCCACCTTGATGACGTTGAGGCACATGTTGATGACATGCTTGGCGCTGGTGCAGTAGTCCCGGGCCCGGGAGTAACACTTGAGGGCGTTGCTCAGGTCCCCGCAGTCCAGATAGTGGTCACCAAGGTCGTCGTGGCCGCGCCTGTGGGCCCAGACGTGAGCGGACCTGGACCCAGGGCCCCGCGGGCCCCGCTGCCCGCCTCCCAGTGTCCCGTGAGCAGCACCTGATACTCTCCTTGATGGAGTTGCCCTTGTAGTTCTTCAGGTCCGTGTCCAGCTTCTCCAGCTTCAGCAAGGCCTTCTTCCGCGTGGCCTCCACCCAGGCCGTGTCAAGGGGCGGCGGCTCCACGCCACTCTCGGGGATGGTGTCAGGTGCATTCTGCAGCTCCCTGAGGGAGTACCTGGGCCATCAGGGGCCGAGGTGCAGGCAGATGGGTGCCGCCAGGGGGCCCCTGCCCGGCCCCTGCCAAGTGAGCACCCAGCCAGCACAGGAACACGGGGACCCCGGCCTGGTGTGGACGCCCAATGGGAAAAGGGTCGTGCATGCAGCCATGGCAAGAGAAGAAAAGCAAGGTGCTGTCTCCACAAACTCTGCGTGACGTCAAAAGAACTACACGTCACGTGCACACAGAGAAAAGCCAGGACGACGCAGACAGCACAGAGCAGACTGGATGAGAACCCAACCCGTTTTGCCATTTATCACCCTTCCTGGCTTTTCAACAAGGCAGGCCAGGTCACCACATCGAGGCAATGATGCTACTAAGTGCCCACACGGGGATGGTGTCAGGTGTCACAGGAGCACAGGAAAGGCCCCCGCACAGGCTAGACGCAAGGGGGACACACCACACCCAGCCCCTAGTGTCTGCTCCCACCAAGGGCCCTGCCTCCTCCTGCCAAGCCCCCGGTCTCACCTGGTGGCCTCCGAGAGCTTGCGGTGGATCTCTTCATACATGTCCACGTTGAAGGTCCTCTGCACAAAGGAGAGGGCCATCTTCAGGGCCTCCACCCGCAGCGGGGGGCAGTGGTCAGCAATGAACTGCAGTCGTTCGATGCGCATTAGCCCACTGTAGCTGGCCGCGTACTGCTCCAGATCCTGAAGTGGGGGTGGGGGGAGTGGATGGAGACTGTGCAAGGCGGGACCCCAGATCCCAAGCCCTGGCAAGTGAGTCAGGAGCAGGACCCAAATGCTGACCCTCCTGCAGTATCCGAGAGGCCCTATGCCGATAACAAGAACAACTGGGTATACGGGCACCAGACAGACCGCTATCCAGTCAGTGCTGGCAAAGGCCACTTGGGGTGGGCCAGCGCAGAGGCCTCCAGGGTAGAGCTCTGCCCCGGGGGCTGAGGGGATGAATGGCCAGAGCCAGATGGGACCTCTCGTGACTGCCAGTCCCCAGGCGGAGCAGTCAGGAAGCAGTGCTCCGTAGGCTGGGCCCCAAGAAAGACCTGTCCGCGGTCTGAGAAAAGCCGCACACGGGGCTCTAGTGTGTGGGAGAGAAGTGGGGTGCACGGTCTCTGGCTGGACTACCACCCCTCCTGACAAGTGGGGCCTAAAGGAAGAGCCTAAAGGTTTCTGGGTCAGAGAAAAACACGGCCTGGGTGGGGGGCCTGGCCTAGCCCCTTCCTGCCTGCCCCAGGCCCGGCCGGGGGGTGCCTTACCAGGGTGGGGTTCTCCACCACATAGTTGACGTCGGGTGCGTTCTGCGGGTCCTCCTGGGGGTCCACATCGATCTGCATGGGCTCCACGGCCCCCTGCAACACAGGCGGGCACCTTGGCACTCGAACCAGACTGCCCAGGAAGGGTGAGAAGCCCTCACCGCGCCCCGACTAGCGCCTGCCCCGGTGCCACGTCCCGGCGGGATGCCGTCCGGGAGCGCCTGCCGTCCCTGCCCGTCCCTGCCTGTCCCTGCCCGTCCCTGCCCCCGCCCGTGTGCAACGCCGCCCCTCGCAGGCCCAGCAGCTGCTGAGCGCAGCGCCCAGGCGCCATATCCCCCGCCGGTCTCCGGGGCGGACAGCAGGCAGCGGGGAGGCCCCCGGCCCGGGGACGCCGGCAGCCCTTCGCGCCCCCGGCCGCCGTCCTGACGC